AAGTCTCCAAACTCACGGCTGGCCTCATGGTACGTCCATCCATAGGATGAGCAAAATCGAATGAATCTACCGCTAGAACATGGAAATATACACTGTCACACGTGTGTGTGTGTGTGTGTGTGTGTGTGTGTGTGTGTGTGTGTGAGAGAGAGAGAGAGAGAGAAAGAGAGAGAGGCACGGAACAAGGGGAGGGGCGCGGAACAAGGGGAGGAACACTGACCTTCACCAACGTACTCCGCGGACGTCCAAGGCTGCGGCAGGGCACAGTAGCTGAATGCACTACACGGTGGATTGCAGCAGCAGACACGACATGGTGTGCAGCCCTTTTTGGCGTGCAGCGGCCTGGAAAAGTATGGGGTTTGAATTCAAATTCTTAGCGCCTCCCTGCTGGAGGGCATCTCAGAGAGCTGCATCCCCCACAGAAGGGCAAATTGGACAGGCCGCAGGGGAAATAGGACCGCCGGTCCGGTAGGGGCATTCCAAAAAGTTGTGCCCCTCACCAACAGGGGCCTGCACAAAAGGTCAGAGGCCCAGGGGCAAATCAGGGAAGTTGGCTGTCGGAGGGGCCAATCGCAAATAAATGCAAACTTCAGGGTATTTCGTACCCAAACGTTCAAAATTGCAGAAAATTAAAGTCAAGCACAATTGCAATATACAAATAACATTCGGCCTCGCATCCGTTCTCGATTCCTTACTAAACTCAAAGATATGAATGAATGAACTAAAATGAATTTCAGCACACCGAACACTCGTTTAAACACCCTTGCTTACACCCTCAACACCCACCAAGGTGAACAATTCACTTAATTGGAAGACCGAGCCACGATTCAACTGCTCAGGACCCTGGACAAGCCAGGTTTTTTCAACTAAAATTCTTGACACCTTATACAGCCCATTCAACATGTTGCCAGGCAGGTGGGGTCCCACCTGCACTTGCCCCACACTGCCATAGCTGTGTCTCTAGAAGCCAAGGCAAGGACAAAGCTACTGAAGTTATGTCCACATCGACAACTCCTAGTTTCTTGCTGCACCCCTGAACAACAATCCCATCTGAAGAAACAAGCTGGCAATTCCAAATTACAAGTTAGAACGTCACATTCCTAATTGCAGAGTTGTAGGTACATACTACACAGTCACACACACAGTCACACACACAGTCACACACACACACACACACACACACACACACACACACAATCTAAAGATCAAACAATGAGGATGATCATATCACCCTCTGCGCTACCTCCCCGAGGACACACACACACACACAATCTAAAGATCAAACAATGGGGATGATCATATCACCCTCTGCGGTACCACCCCGCGGATGTGAAAAAGAAAAAAGAAAAAAAAAAAGAGTTCCTTAGCAACACAATAGACAGAGGGCAGGTCAGCTAAAGATATCCATATGAATTTCTGAAATGAAACAGTTGTAAGAAGGTAATGATTTCAAACTGGAATGAAGTTCGATCCAACTAAACACGCAAGCTGCGATGATTTTGCAATCTATTATCACCCATGGCAACCTTGTGTCACCCAAGGTCGGTCCGCACAAGAAGTAAATACAGACTTGCCTTCGTTACAAGCATGCTTTTTTTTCCACCTGCACATGGCACATCGACCCAAAGCTCGACACCAGCTCCATACCGTACCCTCGAAGGGGTTCTCCTTGGCTCTTTGTATCTTCTGCACGAGCACACAATTCGCATACGAGCTGCTGTGCGTCTCTGACATAAGAGCCGTCAATAAGGTCGCCATTGGCCCTGCAAAAGCTCCATACGGTACCCTCTTAAGGAGTTTCCCTTGGCTGTTTGTATCTTCTGCACAAGCACACAATCTGCACACGGCCTGCTGTGCGTCTCTGACATAAGAGACCTCGATAAGGTGGTCGTTGTCCCTGGCAAGGACTTCCGACAGACACACATACGACTTTCCGTGCACCCGAGAAGGTGGCGACAATAGACTGCACATAAGGGCTGCCTCCACAAACAGCCCTGATATCCACAGATGGCTATCTACAGACAGGCAGGCATGACAGTAAACAGCTCCTGACATGTTCGTTGGTGATTCTGTACAGTGGATTCGTGATTGGCATGTCGGGCGTTCGAATCCCTCTCCGCCAGTCGCCTATCTATCTGTACCAGAGGAGAGGAGAGGAGAGGCGTATCACTAAAGCAAGGAACACTCTGCCGCATACATGTACAGGAAAGAATTTGGAAAGAATTGACCACACGGAATACAAACAAGCGGAGTTACCAACGGGCCTAGCTCAGTCGGTACCCCAGCGAACTGCTGAACTACAGATCTCTGTTCGAGTCCACACGGAATCAGTCAAGAAAACTCACCCTGAATTAATCTGCGGCTGGTCAGGTTGATGATATCTCAAGGCCGCCGCCCTTTCATGAAGAAAAAGGGAAAAAAACACAAGTGGACTTACCCAAGCATCAGAGAATTGAACTCCTCGCTCCTATACGAATGCAGGTGCAGAAAGGAACTCAGCAGAGTTTGTCATTGGCCTGTCCCTGTTGGATCGAGTATGGATAAGACAAAAACTCTTCTACCCTCGGTTACCAAAGTTGATGGCCTGACACACTCATGCATGTATTGAACCTCCTGCACATGACATGAGCTCTCCACCATTTTCATCCACAGTCACACTTTACGCAAAAGTAGTGTGAATCAGGCAAGCACTGAATCTGCTAGACACACATTAGGAACCCCACTGACAATGCTATGGTTCCTCCGTAAAGATGGCGAAGACGAAGACGAAGACGAAGACGAAGACGAATACGAAGAAGAAGAAGAAGAAGAAGAAGAAGAAGAAGAGGAGGAGGAGGAGGAGGAGGGGGGGGAAGAGGAAGAGGAGGAGGAGGAAGAGGAAGAGGAAGAGGAAGAGGAGGGAGAGGGAGAGGAAGAGGAAGGGGAGGAAGAAGAAGAAGAAGAAGAAGAGGAGGAGGAGGAGGAGGAGAAGGAAGAAGAAGAAGAAGAAGCCATTTTGGGATTGCCTGGAGTGGAAGGCATATTCTGGTATTGCCCACAGAGGAACCTGATAGGATCTTCAAACCAACCAATGTGGATGTGAAATTGCCATATTCCATGTCGAAGTTGCACTGAGAAAGAAAAGCCACAGCAAACCAATCTAAATGCAAAAGCCAAAGAACACTCGTGCATGCCTGAAGTGGAATCGGGTGACCGGCTGATCCAAACAACGTGGATATGGAACTTGAATGTTCCATGATGAAGTTGCATCGCCAAAGAAAAGCCACGGAGACGGCGATCTGATTGTCAAGGAGCAATCTCGCTCAGTCCAACTCTTAACGCTCTTTCGGAAACAGATTTGAATATACCTCACCCAACCAACTTGACGGGTCCAGCAGGCAGACCGGTGTATTATTCAAGTTCCATCAGATGCAAATTCGTCCGCTAATGGTTTTTGCTGTGCCATCTGGTCTGCCAAAGACTTACAGCAAATGCTCACTCAGTCATGACTAGAGAGCATGCACCCCCTGTCGGCCTTCGGTGATCCCTTCCCCCCACACCCTTCGTCCTTGGTAGACCTCCAATGGTACAGGGAATACGCGGCCCCGTGTGCGCTGAAGAGGCTGAATCATTCATTCCCCACTCTTCCCAGGGGTTGGCAATGCTGCCAGACCTTGTGAGGCTATTTTGTATGGGACGCTGGACCCGGTTTCCAGCAGGTGTTTCTCCCCACCAATAAGATCAGAGCCACGGGCGTCGGGGTAGTACCCGGTGGTGCTCGTACCACCTCAGGGGTCCACCCTCGACGTTGGTGTTTCGAAAAGAAGAAAAAAAAGAAAAGAGAACATCTCAACAGAGAATGCCTTGTCTTGCCACAACACTGGACCGTGTCGGATTGGACAGAACCACGGAGAGACAAAAGAGGCATCTGAAAGCGGATTCCTCTCTGTGTATCAATGGACACGAATACAATCTCTTCAACTTCAGTCCAGCAACGATGACATTCACATGCCCATGAGTGGACTTCATCTCCTTGCACCTGTGTTTGTTATCTCTGGTCCAGATCTTCTGAGCCACTTCACGACAGCGCCAAGCGATGCGCTCATCTCTCCCCTATTGGTTGTGACCCTAAATGGAGAACCCACCCTCTCCAGCTCTGTCTGAAACACCTCCCTCATCCCACCTATGCCGCCATCCATCTCATCGCCTCTGCCCCTGCCTATGCCAGTCACCAACACTAGCTCCGTCGGGAGACAGCTGAACCTGACGACCACCTTGCCACCCCGAGGGGCACCTTCTTGATCTACTCTTTCATCCGTATCCTTGCTCCGACTCACGCCGTGGCCTGGGGTCTGTGACTCTGCCGACAAAACTGGATGTTGCATCCCCGTGTTCCAGACAACATTTGGCGGCAGCAGTGGAAAGAGATCGGACACCTCCCATTGCCTCTCTCCACCCGTTCTCCACTCCGCAAGGATCTTCTGAATTGCCCTCAGCCACAGCCACCATATGGTGATTGCAATGCCAGCTGACATGGATCTGAGATCAAGCACCCATGTGTCCTCCTCGAACACGCATGTACCGAGAGGCACAAGGGAGGCTTCCATGCCACAACTGAGCACAATCGTTGCCCGAGTTTCTAAGCCCTGATGCCAGAGTGCATGGCAAACCGCGCCCAAAAAACGCGCCTTGAACACTTTTCCCCATTCCCTTCCCATTTCTCCAAGCATCTCCACCGCAGTCTCCTTCACCTTCACAACATCAAGGAACATAAGAAGGGAACATAAGAAGGGACACAACGATAAGTCAATGTCATACATATGCATGTGTGTATATTGAAGATGAGCTCAACGAGAACAGAAAGCTCCCGTGGAGCGAAAGAACCGTCATACATATGCATGTGTGTATATTGAAGATGAGCTCAACGAGAACAGAAAGCTCCCGTGGAGCGAAAGAACCAAAGCTCATTTTACTTTGATCTGCAGTATGCATGCAAACCGTCAAAACCGAAAGTCAATATCGTATCCACAGATACGAGGAGGAGGAAGTATGTCCCATCACAAACACATTGAACACGATCGAAGCCACGACACAACCCGTTCATTATGTTCATCATGCACCTAAACTGGACACATTTGGATTGATGGTCATGAACCACCAAGCGATCTCATTCTCCATCAAGCAGTTCGACTTCTATCCGTCATCTCTCCCTTACTTTACATTACCTTTCCAGGCACACCTGTATGTCTGCCTGCCTGTATGTATCCCACGAATTGCAGGCCGTGACCCGCCAAGCGAGATCATTCTCCAGCAAACAATTCCAACTTCAATCCCTCATCCCCCCCCTTACCTTAGCTCTCCAGGCACACCTCCCTGCCTGCCCACCTGTTCGGTTCCACGGGCACTGATAGACAATTGCATTCACTTTACGTTTCCAGATGCATGCATTGAATTACATTCACAACGTCTCCGGAGTGCAAGACTTCCTGGTCTGTCTGAAATATGCTCCTGTGAACAGGAAGGTACGTTGATCAGTAGTACCTCATTCCCCAACCTATCTCCTCATCAAATCTCACAAAGACGACACAATGGTCCGCTCAACCAGAAACTCTGGGACCGACCCGCCTGGCATGCTGCCCCTGGGTAGTGAACACGCCAGTGCGTAACCCATCAACGTACCCTATGCGAGGCAGCTGTAGATAAGGAAACAAACTGCTAAAGCATCCACAGAACGGCAAGAGTGTGCATTCCGTTCGCGCAACAATCGCTGCTGGCTACCCACCAAAACAACTGCGCATCCAGCCTCCCAAACATTCCTGCAGCCATCCCCTCTCATCCCTGGTTTGTGTTTCCTGACTGATCGGCCCCAGCTGCAAACATGCCTGTGGGCATCCTCTCACCACCTATGATCAATATCTCGGTCCCCGTTCACGGACTGCCACCCTGTTGCTAAGTACAGCAAGCTTACAATAGATATGTGGCAGATTGTTCAGTGATTGCTTTCGTCAAGCAAAGCAAGCTTCAAGCAAGATCACAATATCAGCATCCTGGTCTCAGCTCATTGACTACTAAAGCATGACTGTGAAAGATTATTTCGTCAGATTTTTTTGTGGACTTGTGTTTAGCGAACATAACACATGCACACACACACACACACACACACACACACACACACACACACACAGAG